TTTTTTTTTTTTTTTTTTTTTGTTCTTTGTTTGGTCAGCAGATCTAATCCTTTGAATGTCCTCGGAAAATACAAACCACTGGTGGTCTTGTGATGTGGTTTAATAACCTTCAGGGAGAGTAACGATTCGTCAGTACGACTTCATAACGTTTGATTTTTAATTCTATATTTGCTCTTTTTATGAGGACGAGTATTTGTTTCCCTTCGCAGTGTATGATATAATCCCCGTACTAACTGTCTTACGATACGAAATGATGAAGCTGCCCTAACTGTTAACGTGTCTTAAATCAATAACCTTTCGGTTTTCCTGGATTATATTAGCAGTCGTATCAAGGATTATTAAGACACTTCAGATCAGTGGAATCTTTCCATTTGAGCCTGCTACACATCAGAACATTAATGAAATGAGGTGAGATGGCACTCGGACAGATTTTCTGGACAAAATATCTTCAAATTATTTACCAGATGAAGATGTGTTAGTGTTAGCATCTGTCAGCTTAGAAATATTTATACTTTTTGAAACACTGAATATCAAGTCAGATAAAATAAATATCACTGTATGTGGAATATTTATATTAAAACAAAACACTCCGTTTTACACCGGAACCAATGGTTTTACATGTTGACATATCAGAGTCCTTAAGCAACGTACTTCTTTTGAACTAGTTCAGACGCTTAAGTCGAGCTTTACTCCTGCTTGTTTCTTTGAATCCAAATTGTGCTGTCGTGACGTTTTCTGACTGAGAGATCTCATGCTCAACAATGCGTTGAAACAAGTGTCGGCCGTTGCAAGCTGTATACCCGACATCTCTTGCATCGAACAAGCCACGTTGAAGTAAGTAAACAACGCTTTGTTGGTTGATCAATGCCGGGAGCTTTTCTCACAAACCTTAACATCATTCGATATTCCAACCGTGTTAAGACTTTGAACTCTTCAAGAGTGACTAGAGTCTAGTCTTCACTAGTAGTAGATTATGCACATATTGAGACAGATATTTTAGCATAAATATTCAGACTATTGCATGACATCTTGACGATATCGAAACGTTTAATATTTCCTCTTTTTTTCATTTTGAAATGTTTTCTGCAAGCCTAATAAACAAAAAATCACCGGTAATGACGTCAGTTCACTGATCAGGAGGTACACCATGGCCAACATGGAATTTCACATCGATTTCACATCCCTTTTACGATGGAGTAATTAGCAAGTCAGTAAGTCAGTTAGTTTAAATGTTTAATTTTTATTTAGTATCTATTCAATATGTGTCAAGTGAGATCAAATAGTAAAACTGATGTAAATGTCCCAAAAAGGTTCATACAAGGACATCGTTATCGTCTGTCACATTATAGTTGCGGATTTTTGTTTTATCTTCAGTCTTTCTTCTCTCTCTGTATGATGTAATACAGTCCCGCGTACAAGAACCTGCCGTTTTCCAGGTCAGGCTGAATAGGTTTTATAAGACGAAATAAGAAATTTGGTTCTTAAATAGGTTCTTCTTTTTTTGAGAGTGGTACAGGTCATGACATTTTAAATACAGATGTATAACATAGGTATGGTGTAAAAGTTGCGAGATTTCAGATATTCGATTATTAAGTCCGAAACAGTTTCATGAAAATAAATCTTGCCGGCAAGAAGTCGATACCCTGAAACACTTTCCTCTGAAAATATATCACTGCCAAGCTCCCAGTCTTATCTCTCATCTATAATATTCAGTATTGCTTGCCTAACAAATAAGAACCTTCAGTTCCAAGTTTCAGGCTGAATTGGTTCTTATGAAAATGGTGTTTAAACGGCAGATTGCAGGCTGTAGGTTCTTGTACGCGGGATTTTACCAAACAAACCATAAAAACGATTTTTTTTCTCTCTCTCTTCCTTTATCTTATCAACTACCTTTTCTCGTTTCCGGATTATCTTTAACCTGCTCTCAGAAATCGCAAAATAAAGGGACCTTATCGGTGGCAAATCGCGGAAAATTTACTATTGCGAAATAGATACCTTTCAAAATCGTGAAAGTACGTTGGCGCGAAAATTTCCATTAGCTTGATCACACACAATATATGTGAATACGCGCCGGCTACCTTTCAACTCGATTTTTGTTTTGTTTGGCACGTGATCATGCGTTGCAACCTTTGGTCACCAGTGCGCGCTTGATATTGAGACCGCATGGATAATTGACAGGCAAATGATCATTTATAATATAAAGGCATTGTTTCTATTGGCACTGATTGGGACTAAAACTTCCGTTTCCACGCATATCAGGTAATAAAAGCTTTTGTCTCAACCGGGCTTTGTAATTAGACAATAACAACACTTAGCGTTGTCTCTTACCGGGTCAAACACTGACCATTTAAATTATAGGAGACTCGTAGAAACGGCGAAAACACGGGTGAAGTATTTTACAAAGAACGATAAGAAACTTTTCTTAGAGTTTTGATATTCATTTTTTTCTTGCGATATATGCATTTTGGTTTGCCCGCGAAAATAATGAAACCTTGGCGTCGGGAACGTAAGTCGGTGCATTGTTAGACTACTGTTGAGTTGCACGTGATGATTGCCGTGACCTGTCCCGGCCACTGTACAGCATGAGGGGATTATTTTCCGCAGCAAAATGATGACAGGAAGTGAATGTGTTGTCGGAAAAAAGGCCGGGTCAAACGATACCGCAAGTGCGTGACCCAGCCAAACTTGTTCCATTCAGTTTCTCGTGTTCACAAAAAAAAAAACTGCAGCGGAACTGACAATTGAAAGAGAAGCATGTTTTATTCCAGAATATTTGTACGGTGATTAAAATCTCTCTTTCAATTGAGTCTTTTGCATAGATACATCCACATCTAGACATTGTAGAAACAATGTGAGGAGTTTATTGTGTGATATTTATAACTTGATTACAAGGTAGCAGAACACACCGCATGTTGACTTCGTCTTTGTTAGACAGTCACCCGTGACCGGCTGCGCGTCCAAGTGTTTTATAAAATCCCTTCCTCTAGTCACGAGAAAAGTTTAAATTTCCATAACAAAGAAGTACCTGAGTCATTGCCTAATGAAGCTTAGATTAATGGAAATACCAAAGAAAACTTTCTTTTTCTGAGTTGCTTTTATCGATCTCAAGACATCGTTTTTTGAATGAACTTGATTGAAAGTGAGGAGGCAGCGTGGCCGAGTGGTTACGGCGCCGGACTTGAAATCCGGAGGTCGCGGGTTCAAGTCCCGCTCTGACCACTTAGCTGGAGTTGTTTCTCGGTAGGCCCTAGTTCAACTCCTCGGTCATGCTTGTAAAAAGCCAACTGGTCTGCCTCCCGCCAGTTGGGATTTTTAACCATGTTATGTTGATTTGCATTATTTGTTTCATCATTTGATTTCTTTGGCCATGAAAAACCCCATTGGGGGATTAGTCAATTAAGATATTTATTTATTTATTTAATTAACCTGACATTTTCACTCCCATGGTTATGGCGTCCGATGACAGGTACCGACACTATTGTGGGGAACACGTATGAACTCTGAGATCTATTTCCCCAAAACCCAAAACGCAAAACCCATCATGAAGAAAAACCCGACTTCTTTAATTTTGGCCGTTTCGATTGAGTACAACAAGGCCCTACAACAGTGTGGTTGTACTACACGTATTTGGCGCTCTGCGCTCCGATGATTGAGTAATATTAATAGCGGCCGCCCTACATAATTAACCTTATCTTAAGGTTTTGCACGACCGAAGAAGAAAACGAAAGTGCCATGTTCTCAATGAAATGGGTCCCTTATTGCCGAAACGAATGAAAGCGTTGAAATCGACAGGTAGACGAATTCTGACAGGTCTCGCGTTCCCCGGCCTCATAGCAGGTATGTTCTGTATGTAGAGGCCAACAACTGTACGAATTTGTGGAACGCCAGTAAGGTCAACTGTCCCCTTGCGTCAAATAGTTTAGAGGCTTTTGCTTCTACTCTTCAACTTGAACGCTGCCTACCTTATTCTTACTAATCTTCGCGCGTGTACGTTCGCGATTTTCGCGTTTTGGAAAAAAATCGCAAAATTTAATACTACTGAGCCAAGAAAAAAGAGAACCCAGACTATAAAAGAAAAATACATCAATTTTTGCTCTGAGTCGCAAACTCGTTGTTAATTGTTCAGTTTCTGTCCTTGAAAATATACAGTGTTATGGCCTCTTCTCTACTAGTTAGCACTTTTCCTCCGATTCACCGTTTATCTTTAGCCTGGAAATGCTAAAAACCTCTTAATACAGTCATCAAATCTTTCATAATTTCTTTGTTTCTTGCAGTGTAACGGGGTACGCGGATGAGGAGAGTACCGGAGAGTACAGGCAAAAATAAGAAGGCATAAATTGTCAAGTAAAGATACTTACAGATGGTGTACTACAGTCGATTCTCTTTGAGCGAGTAGTTATGTCGCGCAGACCATTACTGTTCGAAAAATACCAGAAGTTTCGCCCAGCTAGATCACTAAGCAATCAGATNTAAAAGTAGAAAGTGTAGTAACAGTAAGAAGGTGTAAAAGTAGCAGTAAGAAGGTGTAGTAACAGAAGAAGGTGTAGAAACAGTAAGAAGGTGTAGTAACAGTAGAAGGTGTAGAAACAGTAAGAAGGTGTAGTAACAGTAAGAAAGTACAGCAACAGTAAGAAGGGGTAGTAACAGTAAGGAGGTGTAATATCAGCAGAAGGTGTAGTAACAGTAGAAGATGTAGTAACAGTAGAAGATGTAGTAACAGTAGAAGGTGTAGTAACAGTAAAAGATGTAGTAACAGTAGAAGGTGTAACAACAGTAGAAGGTGTAGTAACATTAGATGGTGTTGACACATTTCAAGATGTAGTAACCGTAGAAGGTGTATTATATAACAGTAGAAGGTGTTGCAACAGTAGAAGGTGGAAAGACACGATTGATCATCGCAGTTATATACACAACTTAGGCAGTTGTGAAATTAAAGCCTGAAACAATTCAGGCCTGAAGTTGATTCGAACCCATAACCTCTACGATACCGGTGCAGTGACCTATAAACGGAGCTATCAAGCCAACTGAGAGCTGATCATATTGTGAGTTCGTTATATACCCGTCGATGGTGAAGAATGCAAAAGAATATGTGAAAGAGCATATATTTGAACTGCAGAGAAAGATATGAAGACATTATTGATCATCGCAGTTATATACAAAACTTAGGCAGTTGTGAAATTTAAGCCTGAAAAAAATTTAGGCCTGAACGAGATTCGAACCCATGGCCTCTGCGATGCCGGTGGACTGCTCTACCAACTGAGCTATCAAGCAAACTGAGAGCTGATCATATTGTGAGTTCGTTATATACCCGTCGATGGTGAATAATGGAAGTGAATATATGAAAGTTCATATTTGAACTGCGAAAAAAGATATGAAGACATGATTAATCATCGCAGTTATATAGACAACATAGGCAGTTGTCAAATTATATATACAACTTAAGCAGTTGTCAAATTAAAACTCACAATATGATCACCTATCAGTTGGATTGATAGCGTAGTAACAGTATAAGATGTAGTAACAATGGAAGGTGTAGTAACACTGAACTGTGTAGTAACAGTGTAAGGTGTAAGGTATAACAGTAGAAGGTGTATTAACTGTAAAAGGTATTGCAACAGTATAAGGTGTAGTAACAATAGAATATGTAGTAACAATAGAAGGTGTAGTAACAGTAGAAGGTGTATTAACTGTAGAAGCTGTTGCAACAGTATAAGATGTAGTAACAGTACAAGGTGTAGTTACAGTAGAAGGTGTATTAACTGTAGAAGGTGTTGCAACTATATGAGATGTAGTAACAGTACAAGATGTAGTAACAGTGGAAGGTGTAGTAACAGTAAGAAGGTGTAATAACTTTAGAAGGTATAGGAACAGTAGAAGGTGTAGTAACAGTTGAAGGTGCAGTAACATTAAAACGGTGTAGTAACAGTGGAAGATGTAGTCACAGTGGAAGGTGTAGTAATAGTAGAGGGTACAGTAAAAGTAGAAAGTGTAGTAACAGTAGAAGGTGTAGTAATAGTAGAAGGTGTAGAAACAGTGGAAGGTGTAGTAACAGTAGAAGATGTAGTAACAGTAGAAGGTGTAGTAATAGTG